TGGAAGTGCCAATATAAGAGCATAATGCTGCTATATTCAATAGTTACTTTTTACTTTATATAATACTTTAACAATGAATCACATGACCACTTCTGTGTGAAAGGTTACATCCGCAGTGATTATTTCACAGAGGATGCTCACTCAACTCTGCAGTTCTTTAAAATGAACCTCCTCAATAGCTTAATAGCCTTTTTACCTCATTCTTTTGTTTTTTACAACCTGCGACTTCACTGTTTCGGTTCCCTCGCATAGCATTGCAGCAGGTAGCTGTTATTTATATTGTCTTTTTCTCAACAAAAAAGCCCTGAAAGCTTCACTCGTGTTTACTCACAAACTACTTTAATCTGCTCATTCTGCTGCTTTTCTTTCCCACACGCACACACCAACACCCTCTGTCTCACCCTGCTCTGCCTCTACCTATTTCTTTCTCCCTGTTTCTCCAGCAGTATGTTTACTAAAGTCACCCAAAAAACACAGCTCACATTTTGAAAATTCAACCTCAATTGTGTTTTCACAACAGCAGTTGAGTGTGTGGAGGAGGCTTGTTGCTAATCATGTAGCCTCGGGAAACAATCAAAAACTGGTACCGAATGTTTTACCTGGTCCGTGCTTGTAAAATATCCACCGTGTGTCTAACCGTGTGTCAGCCCTTCATTGCACACACATACAGACGCGTGAGTGTTGTTTTAAGACATGCATGAATAAATGTGAACCTATCCTTTATACCTTTCCCTATTCTATGCTTATTAAAGTTTCCAGCATGTCCACAGTTGGTCCCACTGAGTCAGCTGATGCTGTTGGTGTGTAGGGAAAATTCAATTCTATAGTTTTCAAATATACAATGAGTTTATTTGATAAATATTATTTTCCTAATATTTCACTGTATTTGTTCACTCTACATTTAATGTTCCTTGCCTTTCCATCAGTACTCTTTCCTCCCTGTTTCATCTGTCCCATTCTCTCTACAGTCTCTCCCCCCTCCCACCTCCCCTGAGCCTGAGGTCCAGGTGAGCACCCCCTCCACCCCTCCTCCTGACCTGGTCACGGAGGATGAGTCCCCTGGCCAGCGCACGGTAGAGGTGGCCATTCCCAATGTGGGGACCTTTGTCATTGAGTCAGAAGAGGGGGGGTATGATGACGAGGTAGCTCTCGCCCAAACAAATCTTCTCTCCCTTTTTTTTTTGTGCCGAGAAGTCTGTGCCTGTTTGATATATGGAGTGAGAGCATCATTTGCCCATTCACATGGCTCCACATAAGGTTTTTCACACCTGAGAAAAACTGACACTTGCCAACTGATTTCAGGATTGGCTTGAGGCTGAAAATGCTGCGCAATAAGACTGACCTCTTTGTTGGCCTTCCTGCGTTACTCTTGTGTGAAAAGTCTCTTCCTGAGCCAGTCTGCATCTTGGCACCAAGGCAGGTTGATCTTTAGCAGAAAGCTTAGATCTGCTTCTTCAAGTCACTCTAAAGTGAAAAAAAAAACAAGGTCATAGGCTCATGTTGTGATTCGAATTAGTCGTATGTTGTCCGTTTAATGTCTAACTTCTGTATATAAAGCCAAATGCACTTACAGGGGATGTTTATTATAGTTTGCACAGATTTCATGCAGTTAATCATGGAATCATTTTCTTTTGGGTTGGCTTGATAACAGCAGTCGTTGTAGGTCAGTATGTTCTGAGTGTAGAATTGCTGCTGTTGTCAGTTTTCCAGCCTGTCCCCTGCACTGTTGGCTATCTGTCACACACAGCTGTCATATGGCTGCCTTGGTTTTCACACATTATCCTTGTGAGGATTGCGCATTGTGCCATTTAACTGACTGGCTGTGTCCCTCACAATTGTGTCACTCTAACCAATGCATGGACTGCTGAGCGATGTCTAGCATGCCCTGACTGTGGTATGCTCTACTGTAGTGCCTCAGAGCACATAACATAGTGGCTGACCTTGCTCGGTTCGTCACAAGGACCTGTTGTTTTGTTTAACATGGTTCCTGCTTCCTGGGCAGGCAATGATGACCCCCAACATGCAGGGTATAATTATGGCCATTGGCAAATCCAGCAGCGTATATGAAAAGAATGGGCCTGAGGCAGCCTTTTTTAAGGTATCTCTCCTTTACCTTTCCTCATTCCACACTCACTCACCCACTCCACCTCCATCTACCTTCTCTTTTATGTGTATCTTGGTCTTCTCTTGTGTACTTTCTTACAGTGTGGTAAGGCAGATAAAAACACTCCACAGTATTTATTAAATATTACAGTACCTGTAACTCAACAGATTAACTCAAACCCTTGCTTTACTTTTGGGGCTGCACATTAGATTATTAAAATCAGCCAAATCCAGTTAGCACTTGTCTCTCAAACCTCTTTTTTTATTTTAATTAAGAACAGCAAACTCAGAAAACATGTCAGTTCTATATGCCTCTTCTCCTTCTCCTGTAGTGTGAAGCAAAGGAGAGAAATACATTTCTAACTGGATAGAAGCCAATGATGTATTTAGAAAGATTACTACAAATATATATAACCTAATTATTATAATCTATAATCTAATGGCACATGTAACAGTTTTTCCAGTTCAGAGAGAGAGGAGCATAAACGAATGTGTGCCAACCTTAAAATATTTGATGTGATATTTTAGATTCATGTACACATTTAGCCTACTGTAGAAGTTCTTTTGTGTGTTTTCATCTAACTCTGAATACCCATCAAAGTATGTCAAAGGAAACCAACAATGTTGTGACTAGTTAACTTAACTTATTTGTCCAGAAGTAGTAATATGACGAAAACTGTCACATCCAGAATGTATTTAATTGCAGACCTTTGCAGGTTGCCGTTAAGTTCTCAACTCAAGAGGACCTGGCTAATGGCTAAAATGTCCATGTCCATACCACCTTAACCTTAGTCAGAGTTTTTAACAATGACTTCACTTCTCTGTCTCTGTGGTTAGGCCATAAAGCTGGAGTATGCTCGTCTTCTGAGATTTGCACAAGAGGACACATCTCCTGAGACTGACTACCGGCTACAGCACATCATCGTCTACTTCATCCAAAACCAGGCGCCCAAGAAGATTTTGGAGAGGACTCTGCTCACACAGTTTGCTGACAGGAACCTGGCCTTCGATGAGAGGTAGGTTAGACCAGTGGTTCCCGACGCTTTTTTTTCTTAAGGACCCGTTTTTTTTATCATTGAGTAAACTGACCACCCTTCAAGTACGACATATTGTATGGGTATTTCATATTATATTCAATGCATAACCATAACAATACAGAACAACTGATAAACTGTACAATGAACTTACTGATCGTGCACGATCAGTAAGTTCCTTCTCTACCCATTTAACTTCTCACAACAAATCTTTTGGAGATGGCACTATTCAGGGGAAAGAGGATGGTAGAACTGGCTTACCCAGAGTAAGTTAGGATGACATTAACCATTGACAGACTAGCAATCACATTATAGAATCGCTGTATATGCTGACTGACAGGTGATGTTTAGTCAGCTAACGTAGCGTCAGATTGTCAGCTCCCTGAAGGCTGTAACATTATCCTCTGTAACTTCACATCATCGCCGATGCCATCATCTACATTTTATCGTATCACAAAGTGAATCCAGCCAGCGGTAGTAAAATAAAAACTCGAAAGGCATCGTGTATCAAGTTATCCCACAACGCTGAAGCTGCCATGAGAGTGATATCAATCCAATAAATAACATGAACAGCCTTTTCTTCCTAATCATTCACAGCGTTGTCCAGCAGAAAGTTATTGTCCATATGTGTCCCATTCAAGTAGTATCCAAATGCATTTACTGACATTTAAATTTAGATAATGTAACAAACTGCCCCTGTGTGAAATGCGTGTAACAGTTTATACAACTTAAACAGGGTAATCTGTTTAAGAATAAGAACTTGTGAAGTCTGGGTGTGAGCAGTGTGTGTTTACAGAGTCTTTGAATTGTGCTCAATTTTGACTGATTTCTGAGGGTTTTCTTACTTTTAGACTAGTCTAAATTACGAGGAACATCCCTACAATGAATTGAAACAGTGAACACAACAACTGCAGGACGTTTGTGTAAAATGAGCTATTAGAATTAATTTTGAGCAGAATGTTGCATCAGGTGAGTTTTCCTGGTCAGTTTTGGAACTTTTTATACAATTATCTGTCTGTATTATGTTTAATTTTTTTTTAACAATCGGAATACTACATAGTAGGCTTCTTTTTTGACACTTTTTTTTAATGCAAGATGAAGCTGCTTAGTGGAGAGTAAAGACTGAATATAGCTTGTGTTCAGATCTTCAAAGTTTAGATCTTAAATAATAATCAAAAAATTACTTAAACTTTACTTGAACGAAATGCTGAGATATAGGCCTATTGTGTATATTTTTTAAGTTGTCTTACACTCCTTTAAATAAAGAAGCATGGTGCCCCCAGTTTTGGAACCGTGGGGTAAGACTGTATGCAGTGTTTGTTTTTTAAATCTGGTTCTTTTTTCTTGTCGTCTTAAACTTAGTCACTTTTAAGAAACAAGTTGGATCATTTACATCAATCAGCTTCTCCGAATGAACAGCAGAGGGCAGCAGAGACCTTGACTGACATACAGGGCCTTCAGATTTACTGACAGTGTCTCATCTGGACAATGCCTTTCTGCTGCAAATCCTATCTGATGGTATTCCCTCTGTCCTTTGTTCAAACACAAATCTTAGGAGACACATGTTCAATAATGACTTTTTTTTTAATACTGCCAGCAAATATCAAGATTCCCTCCCTATTAACACTGTGATGTTCATGTCATTAGGGTATGTAATGCCCCTTACTATCTCTTAAAACTTTTCAACTACGCGTGTTGGCCTCAATCCATATTCATGAGTGAAAAATTGATTTCTCCCTTCTCCTCTATTTTGAGCAAGATAATTAGATTTATGTGTGCATGTGGCCTCAATAGGAGCCTCCGGAGGAGTGTTTCACTTCTCCTCTCAGCACTAAAGAGTGATTCATTAGGCCATGTTAGGGCCTAGGGGCAGGGTGGACTCTTTCATCTGCCGGAGTACCTCACAATGACTCACCATCTCCTCGCTAACGCCGGTTCCTCTTCCTGTCTCCCCCACCTCTCCCACAGATGTAAGAGCATTATGAATGTGGCACGTGCCAAACTGGACCTAATTAAGCCTGAGGAGGTCAACATGGATGAATATGAGGTCAGCAGTGGTGTCTTCTGGGTTTTTACACATCTAAAATATTAGTCCTGTTATGCTGCCTTTTATGCATTGTTTCTATAGCCTTGGCTGTAACACAGTTAATCATTAAAATGCTAGTATTTGCCAGTCAATATGACTTCTTGGATTTAAATTTCAGTGACTTTTCCTATGCTAACGTCTGTTTATCTTAATCAGATGTGGCATCAGGCGTACCGGAATTTCCGTGAGACGACCAGCTTCATGGTGACCGGCTTGGAGCTCTTTCAGAAGACAAAGTATGGCGACACCTTTCCAGTGCTCCTCCTAATATTTAATATTGGAAACATTTTAACTGCAACTGTCTTGTTAGAGCTTTTACTCATGAGTTCAGTGCTGCACATTTTTTCAGTTCATTTCCCCTATCTGTAGCAACCAGTAAATGTTGATGTGTTACCTGCAGAGGGCAGCAACTTACAGTCTGTGCAACTCCTGTAGCTTTATTGTTGTGCAGTGAGTTCATCAAGTTTATTCTGTCTTTGAAATGGTATACTCTCGAAGTTCTCAGAGCAACTTTGACGCTATTTTATCTGAATGTAACATCTGTGTATTTCTCTCTTTCCAGTTACATGGAGGCTCTGATGTATCTGATTTACTCGTACCAGTACAACAAGGAGCTTTTGTCTAAAGGGCTGTACAGAGGGCACGATGAGGAGCTTCTTGGCCATTACCGTCGCCAGTGTTTGCTGGTGAGGCATCGCAAACAGTAACACAGTGATTTATTTCACACAACTTGTCGAGTATCTATTCAAATTACTGGATATGTCTGTACCTTTTTATGGCATATTCCTTCAATTAAACAGCGTGATTACAAAGGGTCTGTTTTGTAATGGACACACCTTTGTCGCCAGCAGTTGCTTCCCTGTGATCTCCTCTCAGTCACTCCCTTTCCTCCGTGTCAAACTTCCCCTGCTGAAGTGACTCAGCAAAACTAACATGGCCAGATATTTCCCCTTCAATACTGAGCTGTGGTACTATAATCAAATTGCTTTCGCTGAGATATTGCTTTGGCTTGCTTGCAGCCCACAAAAGATTCCACTGAAGGTTTTTCATCTGATACTGACAGATGAAAATCCTTTCAGCGTTGTGATGTGAGCCCCTTTTCATTTCACCCCCACCACGCTCCAGGCTGTGCTCTGGTATTATTGGTTAGAGCTGAGGGTATTTTGGTCTGATCAGCCTCATACTGGTCTTTAGCAGCCCTCTTGCTGCTGCACTCAGTAACCTTACACCAGCATTGTGCTCATAATGTAATCATTGGAGTGGGAATAGGAAGCAGGAGGGCCAGCGAGTGTAAACACATTACCATGAGACACAAGCGTGTCCTCAGCTAACCTCAAACCTCAGCTCCGCACAGCCCGATCGGTCATCTTAGATCTCTGGCCAGAACCTCTGGCTGCGTCCGCTCAGCTGTTTACCTTCAGCTCTTGTTTTAATTGAAAACACTGCTAACATTGACACAGTTAATGTACTTGGATGTTTTTGCAAATCCAGCCTCACAGTCCCCAATTCCAAACTGGCTCGCTAAAAGCAGGTCGTTTCCTCAGAGAGGAGGTCAGGGAGTTTGTCTGTGACAGCAAGGTGGTTTTGGCCAAGAGCAGGAAGAAAAGCTTGTATCCACATGCATGCAGGAATGTCAGGACCCTCTTCAGTTCCATTGGCTGTAGGATATTATGTGATAATAATGATGTCTGTAGGATTGCTGTTAGTACTTTAGCTGTCAAATACTTATCTGTTAGAAGAAACTTCACAAGAAAGAACAAGAATAGTAAAATGAATGACTTCATAAAAATGAAAGCACTCAAGAATATTGTTTGGCATAAAGCAATTGAATAAGAGAACACAGATATAAGTAAATTATATTGGCAACAAAGTGCATTCTTTGAAAAATCAAGAATGAGTAATCCTCATGTCCTTGGTCAGGATATTCTGCTGTCTAAAAGCCAAGAGGGCAACTTTGCCTTTCAAGTTACTGCTTGAATCTAGATCAGAGGTTCTCTCCCCAGGTGAGAGTTGAAGGGGGATGTGAAGCAAGAGACATGAGGCAGAGATACTGTATGAGGTGAAAGAGACAGGTGCATGCCGGTGTTCTAAAAGAACTGGAAGCTAGTTGTTGTTGTTGGGCTGCTGATTTGGCCATTTATCAACACAGTCAGCACTTACAGCAGACACACAGCTAATGGAGGCTTTTAGGGTAAACCTTAGCGTCCAATTCCCTCAAAATTCAAACAGGATACATTTCTTTTAGATTAAGTGGGACTTAAACTTTCCAAAGAGATTACTATCTCTGTCCATAAATCTGCTTAGAAATCATAGAAGAAAACTCTCGTGAGAACCATCAGGTTTTTTTTGTATCTAAGTAATCCAGTGATAGTTGTCTGTACATCCATGAATACAGTGCAAACAGGAACTGCTAAAAGCTAATTTGAGATATTTTCATATGCTATAGCCCACAGCCAATCACCAGTCAAACCAATGGCAATGAACAATGCTTCTTGGCTTCTGGTGAAGCCGGGCGAAAATCCGGATAATGGATATCTGGGCAAAGTCTTCCTCAGCAGTCCGATTAGCAACTTCATACGCGAGAATTACATTAAAAGACAGATTTTAGCTAATCTCTATAAACCGATAACTGCATATGAATGCAGATACATTTTTAAAAAAGGTAAATCGTTGATAACTGATGGGTTCCGAGATTGCATGTGAGCCACTGTGTACCTGCATGCAAACAACACTCTCTTAAGCAGGATTTGGTCAGTACTACTCAGACTATAAATTGAAACCAGAGCGCTGCCTGCAGATTCTGCATTCATACTGTACAAAAGAAATAATAATAATAGGAGTTACAAATCCCATTATTTTATCTTTATATTAATTTAATATTAGCAATTTTAACTAGGTGCAGTTTTCACAGCTGTGTCTGATAGGGGGCCTCCGCCAAATATTTAAGCTATACATCACATGTACAGGGAATAAATGTATTAGACAGTTGTTTTAGTAACAGATCTAATCTCATCCCCTTCCCTAATAGAAATTAAACGAGCAAGCGGCTGCCATGTTTGAGTCCGGAGAAGAACCGGAGGTGACCACAGGCCTTGGCATCATGAACGAGCTGGTGGTGCCCTGCATCCCTCTGCTGCTGATCCACGACGCTGAGAGGGACCTGCTGGCAGTGGAGGACATGAGGAACCGCTGGTGCTCCTACCTGGGCCAAGAGATGGAATGTGAGTCCCTGGGAGAGAAGAAACAGACTCGGCCCATTAGATATTTCTGGAGAGTTGAAGTCTTAGGTTACTAGTACATTCCCCGTCCCCCTGCCAAAGATGATCATAATCAGGCCACAGCTCGGTTCACACTTATAGAAAGGCTTCCAGGTTGTGCAGCATTTCCACTTGTCCTGGGATATCTGACCATTTAACTGTTAGGTGTTTTCATGAGAGTACACTGAATATCCTTAGCTTTTGAACTGTTTGTTGAACAAAACAAGGCATTTGAATACACCACCTTGGGCTATTTTACATTTTAATGGACATTTCTCACTATCATCTGACATTTTGGAGACAAAACAACCAGTTAATTAAGAAAATAAGGGCTAGCTTTGGGAAAAGCCTAATCCCTGCAGCCATAGCTGCCTTAGATATGAGCCCTCACTGAATTAGCCTGAGTGTGTACTTTTGTCTGTCACTGTGTGTTGTTACTGACTTAAGTCTAATCAGCAGATTAATCGATTATGAAAATCATTAGTTTCAGCCCTATTATAAACCGTTTTTTAAATGTTTTTATACCGCTTATGAATGATAAATAGTGGGACTTGAAGTGTCGCCAGCATGTTATATTTGACCTGAAGTTGAGGTTGCCCCTTTGGCTCACTGTCAGTGTACCTGTATTTATCAGTGTTCTTTAGAAATGATACAAACAGATTTAAAGCTATATAACTAGTAAGGATTAATTGATGAATCTAATGAATAATTAATTAACTATTAAATCATTGTAAACTGAAAAGTCTATACTTTTGGACTGATGATCCAGAAAAGAATCTGCAGATTAACAAACAATGGAGTTATATGCAGCCTTACTTTAAATTAGTGTGTGTGAGATTTCACTAAGAAATGCCCCTGAACGTTTTTTCTTGGTAGAAAAACAGGACTGAAGAGGATTCAGCTTTTATCAGTATGTTCCAGTATGGGTCCACAGAGAGCCTGTTCTCTGAGTTGCTGGCCTTTGTTCAGGAAAAGCTGCGTATTATCACCCAGACCCCTATTGGCTGGAGTTTTACAATCTTTCTGTTGTGGAACATGCTTTTAAAGTACTCGTGATATCACACTGAAAATATTTACCCTGTGATTTCTGTGTTGAGGAATCAGATTTTCACTACATGGCCCTTACAGTTAATCATTTATTATCTTTCTTTCTGTCTGTCTGTCTGTCGTCCTCCTGCTGGCAGCCAACCTCCAGGAAAAGCTGACCGACTTCCTCCCCAAGTTACTGGACTGCTCGACGGAGATCAAAAGCTTCCACGACCCTCCCAAGCTGCCCACCTACTCCACCCTGGAGCTGTGTGAACGATTCAGCCACATCATAGCCGCCCTCTGCAGGGTGCCCACCAAGGGGAGATGAGCTCAGAGGGACGGCCAGACACCTCTCCTGTATCACAGGCCCGACCCTGGGCAGAAATCCATGGACCTCTCTTAACCCATGCCTTCCTTATAAATCCAGGGGTCACTCGCTTCTAGCTGTTATTCCTCTGTTACTCTTTTTGCTGCTATAGGTTTTATCATTCTAAATATTAGTTCACTTTTATTTTAAACAAAACACAACAGAGGGAGGAGGAGGAGGAGGAGGAGGGGACGGACTGTTGGGAGGGAATAAAGAAATGAGAGAGGAGAAGTTGATGAAAAACAGTGGCAATCCTGCAGTGGTTGAAAGCCAAGCACATTCTGCTTCAGCTTTGCAAAAAAAACAAAAAAAAAACAGTTTGAGGGTTTTTCATAGTTTATTATTGTTGTTGTTGCTGTTTGATTCAAGCTTCCCCAACCACGCTCATAGTCCTTTCTAAAGCACCCCCTCTCTGCGTGAAAAAAAGGATCACCCCGCTGCTCTGCCTCCAGTTTGGTACAGTATTACCACGTCTTGTTTTATTTTTCTAAGGAAGTAAGGAAGAGAGCCTTCAGATTTATCAGCGGCTCAGAGTATCTCAAATGGGTCTCATGTCTTTGTGGACTGCGCCAGATTGAGATGTTTTAAGTGCTGTGGTAGACAGCCACGGACTTCCTGTGGCTTGTTAATAAATCGAGAGAATAAAATTTTATTTATGGCCCTTTTAGGCCAAATAAACAGATCTTTTGCCTGATGTTGATTTTTACGTGCACAACAATAACTTCTGCAGACGTTATTATTTACATTGCACGTAAGAAGTGAAATATTCCCTTTCATTTGAGACATTAAAGGGACACTTCACCCCAAAGTCAAAAATACATATATTCCCTTTTACTTGTAGAGCTATTTATCCATCACGAGGCTCGTGACGGTGCACAATGTAAATGTTAATGTTAATAGTGTCCTTCTCGGCTGAGCTGTGACGTTAGCTAGCTCACCTAGTACCACTGAGATAGTACCATAGTTACAGTTTGGCATGTGTTGTTTGGTAGAAAGAAAATGGTTCCAACACCACAACAAATTCTGAGGATTATCTTGAGTAACCAGTTTGATGATTTCTGGCAAGAGACATTGCTGTTGAATTTTTCAAATGTATTTTTCTGGTGCTTTGAGCACCACAAGCAGAGTGCCATCTGGTTATTATACTGGATTGAAGGCAGACATCTCTACAGCCGATATTTCCAAAACACTAACACCAAAATAATCTGGATGGATAAATAGCACTACAGGTAACAGGAAAAATATGTATGTTTGATTTTGGGGTGAACTGTCCCTTTAAGGTTATGGGCAGCAACTGGCAGACAGCAAGGTAAGTAGAGGTTCAGCGTCCTGCTGTGTGAATCAAACCTGAGATCTTGGTCAGAACAGTCTCAAACCTGTTCTCCTACTGTACTAAGGCGGCTGGTATTATGCAGTTTATTAGAATCTGACTTTAATTAAAGTGGGGGCACAAACTCCAAAGCATCCAGCATGTGTCCAAAATAATAAAAATACAAAACAGACTCGATTGTAGCTGCTCTGAAATGGGTTGTTTTTTTTTTATGATGCAATTTTGGACTAATTTCCAGGAACACTGATCACTACTAACAGCCCATGTGATAAAGGCAGGAAGCATTTTCAGAAGCATTTTTCTTAAACGTTGCTACCAGCATTGTTCAGATCATAAAATGAAATTCAGCTTTGAACATTGTTTTGAATATGCTGTGCCATGTTTTGAATTTCACTCCAAGCTATAATTCCGAATCATTAAAACTAATCACTCTAGTCTGGAAGAATTCAACTTTTACACTTTATTCGGTGTTTCCTCCAGTGTTTTGCGCACATCACCTACTCTACCTGTCCATTGTTTTGTTATGACACTAGTTCATTTTGTACAAGCTGATGTTTTACTCGTCCTCAGTATCCTCAGTATATGCTGCAAAAACAGCGCTTCTAGAAACAAGCCCAATATTCTTAAATATAATCAAATGTTCTTGTATTGACCAAAACAATCTGCTGATGGGGTAAGCTGGTTTTGCCTGGCTAGAATTCTTAAAACTAGCATAGAAATGTAGCCAATGAAAGACTGTAATGGTCCTTAAAACTAGAAAAATGCCAAGAAATTAGGCAAGATGTGTTCAATATAAGCAAGTATTTGGGTCACTTTCTTTGTATTCAAGAGTTTATACCTTAATTTAAGATGAATAATTAGTACAAAAAAAGGCTTACAATAAGACACAATTTCTTCAAACAGCATTATAAAATATAAGTGACTTTGTCTTAAATCAAGGCACCAGAAGCATGAAAAACTAAGCAGCTGCTTCATTTACAACAATTAAATTAAGAAGTTGTAACATCTTATGATGACAAAGTTGGATAGATTTTCTTAAAACAACATCACTTTACTAATGCAAAACATGCTTGACAAGATTATTTTTCTTTTTAGATGAAAAATAAAACTCATTTCCCAGAAGCAAGGCTTCTTTTACTTTCCTGAGATTCTTTTTTGCAGCGCAAGGTTGGAGCTCCTCTTAAAAACTGAAAAGGTTCTACAAAATAAAACTAGAAGTTTTCTGAATAATTCTAAACATTTAACACCCACCAGATCACCAATGCCTAGAAGTCCTGATTTTCAACATGTCACAAAAAAACAGTAAAGCATATGGAGATGTTTATAACTGCAGTTTTTAAAGACATAGGGTGATCTCTTGGTTAAACAATATGTCTGTTTCTCCACCTAGCAAATGAGCCCTGGACTGTATGATGCTTGTATGGTTTGTCTGTATTGACAGCGGTTGTTAACTGGAGTTTGGAAGAACAGCTGTCATAGGCTTGCACAATATTAACCCAAACGTCTGCACACACTTAACAAGCTGCCTGACAAACAGTCTCTGTGATGGTTTGTAGCATTTACGCTGTCATTGGCCCGGAATGAACCTCTATTGACAAGCTACAATTGCTGGTGCATTCCTTCACGTCTTTCTGTAGCAGTGTCAGGCCGTCAGTTGACAGCTTGTCTGCTGCAATTGTGTCTGTCTTTTTTGGCCTTTTTATCAATGAGCCACAGTTTCAGCCGCAGGCCTGTCCTGTCATTGGCTGTATGTTCTTTGAGTGGTGAACCCATGTTGCTGCACACAAGCTGTTCAGCATAAAAAATAACTATAGAGCAAAGACTTCTTGAAACACTTAGACTGTAGACCCTGTCAACTTGGTCTATTTAAGCTTGCATAAGAGCTCAATCTTTTTTATGAACAAATGTACTCATTGACAATGGTGAAAAGTATTCACATTCAAAAGTAAACGTAACTACAGAGCAATGTAAAGGTATTCCATTACAAGTAAAAGTCCTGCAAGGCACAGGAGTATCATCAGCATATTGTACTGATTCTATATGACATTATTAGGTTGCTAATACTGATAGTTTGAACTACTTTACACACACAGTTATATAGTTTGATCAAATGGCTGCCAATCTAGGGGTCCAAATCCAAAGGGTCACCAGATACATCTGAGGGGTCACACAATAATTAATAGGAGCAATAAAGGAATAAAGTTCTGATTCACAAATCTGTTTTACCTCTTTGGGAACTGAATGGATATTTAAATGAAACCACATGAGAGGTTTAGAGTGGAAATCACTATTTGATGGAACTGCCAACTCATATACCCCCTTTTCCACCAAGGCAGTTTGAGGGCTGGTTCGGAGCCGGCGCCTCAAACCAATTCTTTATGTTTCAACAGCCAAATAACCCACTCTAGGTCAGGGAAACTGGTTCCAGTGCGGAACCAACACTTAACTGTTCTTGAACCAAGAACCGCTTGCAACAGGGGCTGGGGGCGCCCCCCCCCCAAAAAAAAAACAAAAATCCTCCTTTAACAGGGAATAAAAATGGAAGAAACCTCAAGAAGAGCAACAGAGGAGTGTTTCCCCCTCCCAGGACAGACAGACAGACGCGCAATATACGCCATGCAGAATATACCAGTAAATTTACAGTATGGATAATCGGGATTATAGAGAGATTGTAAACATATGAAGAACATCATCTGCCATGGAGACCGGGAAAAAGGACAGACTACACAAAAATACGGGCAAAGCTTGAGAACATCATTCACACATCATTCACACAGATACAGGAGGAGAAATACACAAAGGAGAGAGAAGAGGAGAGGCTGAAGTTCTGGTTCGATCATCAACAATGAGTTATAAGCTTTTCATACAATATTTCCCTTTGAATTGTAGTGGAGTAAAAGTATAAAGTAGCATGAAGTACTTCAAAGTTGTATTTAAGGACATTACTAGAGTAAATCTAATTATTTTCCAACACTGCATCCAGATGTATTCTATCTCAAATTAAAATGTTTACACCCACACTGAGCAATAAATAGAAAAGAGAAACTAGAATACAGCAGCAACAGAGCAGCTCTAACTAATATTTGCTCTGCTGACTCTCTCTAATCTTTAGACAGCAAGTGGATTGTGTTTTGTCCGTTTAAATTTATTATTTTTTTAATCCAAGTCACTGTCAAATTAACTATTGTCTTTAAACCCCTGGGTAGGACTTTGGATGAAATTATTTCAAAGGCCAGACAGAGTGTGTTAACCTGCTGAGCCTCTGCTATCTATCTGAAGATGAATAATCTGCCTCTCAGTTTATGAGTATTCAACCCTTGTCAGCAGTATGAGTCGGAGATCTACTGTACGCTGTCCTTGTTTTACCCTTGTTTTAAAAATACCAGGCGGGAGTTATCATCTGCATTGCTGTGTGTGTGTGGTTTGGCCTTTTGATAGACCTGTGTGAGTTGACCTCGTCGGTTTGAAAATGTTTATGGGGCATTAATTATCATTATTGGCAGCGGCATCCCCTAATTTTGCTCATTATTTCTATTGACTTGAAGTGGGGCACGAGGCCAGGTTCTGTGATGATTATAGAGTAGGAACAGTGGCAGTTTATGCTGCCCGTGATACTGATGGACAGGCTTAATTAGCGGTCTGAGCTGGTTTTCCAACAGCGTCCAAATCTAAACCCCACCGACCCAATTCATGACCTGCAGTTGTTAGAGGGGGAAAACAGCAGAGACAATACACTCACCTCTGCCAAGTCCTTTAATTATATATTCAATGGAATTCCCATGTGTGCATATACAGTATATCTTACATATATAAACATGTACAGATAGGCGACAATTTAAAGGAATAAGCAACATAAACCCTTTGTGGGACCCTCACCTCTCCGTTCTCCCATAGGCATTCAGTCGAGTCATTTTTCATTCTCATCAAACCACTGAATGACCCCTCGTGTCCTGTATGAAAGCATCTGCATTTGTCATGTTTCCCCACTAATTCGTTCAGGGTTTTTTTCCTTTAATTTGTCACCCGTCAGCCGTGTGCTCTTTTGTTTACAAGACTTCCTCCTGTTCATTTCTTCAAAAGTGAGAATTGCTATAATTCTTGGAAACTGTTATGTTGCTGTTTTTCTCTCCACACGCTAGTTATAGTTTAAGGGGCGCTCAGTAGCTCACCTGGCAGACTGTGCACTCCATGTAGGAGTCCTTACCGCAGCAGCCTGGGTTCGATTCCAATGTATGACCCTTTGCTGCATGTCATCCCTTCTTTCTCTTCCCACTTTCCTGTCTCTCTTCAGGTGTTTCTGTCTAATAAAGGCTATAAAAGGCTAAAAATAAACTTTAAACGCAGACATTTAACAAAATACTGCCCCAGTGGAGTTGTTTAATGGCCTGAACCAGGGTAGAGCTGAAAAAGTATGCACACTCAGGAAACTTTCACCTTAAAACAACAGTGATGAAATCCTCACAGTCCCTTTAACACAAACACCAAATTTATGAAAAAGAAAGTGTGAAGCAGTTGAAATCTTCACATGCCAACCTGGAAAATGTATTCCTAGCATAATGCATGATGCTGCCAAAGTCGTATACCTCCCCAAGTGAGTCGACCTCGCCTGGCTCCATCTTCAGGAAGTTGTACTCCTGTCCTAGTCATATACAGATAATCAATGAACTAAATGCAAGGAAAAACATCTGGAGCACACACACACACGTTTTCACACTTATTCATGTCAACACACCGGAAGTTAACAGTACCTGGTTGGATGTTGTCTCTGACGATGCTTACGTGCTGGTCGCGGTCCGGGCGTGTGTGTTCATGCCAGAAGCCGATC